CAACATCTTCAAAATCAATATTTTGATTGCTGACAGCTTGTTCACCAGATCAACCATCAAGTGACAGTGACACTAATATTTGATTGAGTTCAGTACTTGCTCTGCGGTACATCGCTGAGCCATTTCATGTTTTGCTGATGATACTTCCAATTCTTTTGATTTCTGCCTGCGGTAACTATGAGTGAAACTTCACTTCATCATTGTGTATCAGACATTGCCACCTTGTGGAATAAAGGTGAATTGCACTTATTCAGTCATCAAAGATTAAATTTTTGTTGTGCAGAATAATTATACTTACACTGTTACACACCTCGTCGTTAACGGAAAAACACGCATTCGTTTGTAAAATGTTTTAAACTTTAAAAAAACTGAATGAGGAGAAGTGTAGTGATTGATGATATTTTAGTATGTCTTTAATTTTATTTTTCTTTGTGTCACACTATAAGAAGACAATCTGTAGAAAATCAGAAAAGGTATTGGTAATTCATTTTCTGCCACAGCATTATCTGTTAAGTTTATACACATTTCCTTTAACCCTAATACATAATGCAATGCGTAATTTAAAATATGGGTAAAACACCTGTAAGAAATAAATATAGAATTTTTTTTCATATTAACACAGGACATTGTGCCCTATTTTTACGTTTAATTTTACTAAGTTTCTTAGTGCATAAAGTTATTTTTTCAATTATTCAAAATACCAAAACTCTCTTTCTATTAGATAGGGGGTCATATGCATTTTAATTTTTTCTTTTCATTTAGTGTGTATATGTATCTGTTTATACATGCATAGGGTCTGCAAAGTTACGAAGATCAGTGTCCCACAAATATTTCATTCTATCTAACAGAAGATACTACTCCAGACCTGTCTAAAACGTCTAGATATTATTTTCGCTAATATCTACGTCACAATGTGAAATATTTGCATAATGCCCTCTCAAAGGCAAATGCAAAGAAAGAAGATGAGGCTTCAGTGAATTGTAGTGTTGCCGTTGTGTTTAGATGCGAAAGCAAAACCCCTTTGTTTAGCCATCCAAAAATGTATGAAATTAGGAACCAGTCGCTAAAATTTATTTATAACGCTGTTCCTGAGCAGTAAAACCCAAAAGTTAGATTGTGTACAGTGTATTTTATGGAGGACAGCTTTCTGAACCTGTGAGAGTACAACGCCGGCTATACATTTCAGTATGTTTTTTTTAACTGTATTTTATGTTGTTACATAAGGACATAAAGTTGTTATAGTGAAAAAGAAAAATTGAACTATTTTAACCTATCTGAAAAATAAGAGAGTTACAAAATAAAATTGTTTCAAAATGTTCTACTCAAGTCGATTCCAGTCTATCTGCTTGATCATCCGCATTTTCAGAATCTGACTCGAGCTCAAACTGATATGTTAATTAAACATTAAATTGTGTGTTTACAATTTAGCTGAAGCTCACAATTATGGTAAGGGGCGTTACATTTCCGACACACACTTGAGCTGTTTGGCCAATCACAATTCATTGGGTCAACTGGCCAATCAGATAACTCTGGGCTTTTCATATCATTACATTATTATATTTATTATAGTTATATAATCAGTATACCAATTTGAATTTTAAGTTTTCTTTTTAATTTTATGTGATAATTTTAATATTTTCGTTTTTGTTTATTTTGTTTTCTCACAATACTACACCTTTTAGTTTTCATTATATATTTCCATATTTTCAGGTTTAAATTATCCACATTTTGTTGATTTCTAATAAGTTTGTGTAATTTCAGACTCATTAAGACATTTGGTCAGGGGAAATCTGATTAGTTTATTGAGTTTTGCAGGAAAACCAAGTTCCCTTTCGAGGGAACTCGAACTGCGTCGATGACGACACTTTGGGGAACGCCCTTAGCGTAACACATCTGAAGTATGAATGAAACTAATCCAATCCTGATTGGTGCTGCGTCATGACGTAACATGTGACAGCATACACGGAAGCTACAAAGGGACGCCGGCACACAACAGAGTTAGCTTTTTGCTCTTCAGCAAGCGCTCTGTGTCAAACTGTCTGTCCTATTTGGTGTTGTTTGTCCCATAAGAACTTCAAATAAAGGTCTGCATTGCAATATAGAATCTAGTGGCTCGGATCTCGCGTTTGCAGAGGCAGCTCGTAGATTACGGGTCTACTCTGCAATACGATTCTGTGTGGGTGCGAGGCATTCGCAGTCAGCTCCTGAGGGTGCTGGCAGTGTTCATTGAGAAATATCTCGACGCGTACATATGTGCGCTGTCGGATGTTTCAGCCTCACACCTGTTGACTTTCTTCTCGAGGGATGAAAGCCAAATATATTGTAATGGCTCGAATCTTGCGTTTGTCGAGGCAGCGTTTAGATTACGAGACCATATAAATAAATATTAAAACAGTATTGTCTGGTGATTATGGCTGCATTTAATTCTAAGAAATTAAAATGATGGAATATTATCTGACTTTAGATATTTTAATTCAGCCTACCATTCAGACCGCGTTCCTCTGCCGGGCAGGGAGTCCGGGTTCTACAGACGCTACTTCATAGTTCCCAAAAAGGATGGGGTGTTGCGCCAATTTTAGATCTAAGGTACTTGAATCGTTCTCTGAGGAGATTCAGGTTCAAGATGCTCACTATACCCATCATCATGAGTCAGATCAAATCTGAGGATTGGTTTGTCACGATAGATCTAAGGGATGCATACTTCCACATATCCATCCTTCCATCTCACAGGAAGTTCCTGACGTTCACTTTCGGGGGCAAAGCATTCCAATATATGGTTCTTCCATTCGGCCTGGCTCTCTCCCCTCGCATGTTTACCAAATGCATGGATACAGCTCTAGCTCTGCTGAGGCTTCAGGGTATCAGGGTGCTAAATTATATCGACGACTGGCTTATTATGGCCCAGTCACAAGAGCTGGCAGTTCGGCATCGAGATGTTGTCCTTGCCAACATCCAGAGCCTGGGGTTGAGACTCAACATGAAAAAAAAAACATGTTGGCACCAGCCCCGAGAACCACGTTCCTGGTAGTGGTGTGGGACCCGGTCACGATGCAGGTACAATTGTGTCCTGCACAGATCGTGTCCATCTTGGCCACGGTGACCAGGATAAAGCTAGGCCAAGCCATCACTGTAAAACTGTACAACCACTGAGGAGGGACCTGCTTCCACAGGCTGGGGGCTCAATATTCACCCTCGACCAGACCTGTGGAAACTTTGGGCCTGACCCCTGAGGGGGCTCAGTACCTAGAGGCTGGCCTGTCGGCTGGAGTGGTTGAGACCATACTCAGTTCCAGAGCTCCTTCCACGAGGAGATTGTACAGCCTAAAGTGGAATGTGTTTCCACTTGGTGTAGCGAGCGTGAGGTGGACCCAGTTAACTGCCCGGTTGGCTTCAGTGCTGGAACTCCTCCAAGATCGCTTCTTGGCTGGTCTTACCCCGACCACACTCAAGGTGTACTTGGCTGCCATTGAGGCTTTCCACGCTCCTCTGGTTGATGGGCCTCTGGGGAGACATCAGCTGGTCGTACATTTCCTCCGTGGGGCTCGGAGGACATGTCCTGCAGCTCGTACCAGAGTTCCCACATGGGACCTGGCAGTGGTTCTCAAAGGGTTGGTCGAGGCCCCCTTCGAACCTCTGGAGTCAGCTGAGGCCAAGAACCTTTCCCTCAAGGTAGCTTTATAATTAGCCATTACTTCTCTGAGAAGAGTAGGAGACCTTCAGGCGTCTTCAGGCGTTCAGACCATCAGTAACCGGATCGTTCAGGCTATCTCTTTGGCCTATCAGGTGCACAGCTTGCCTTCACCTTTGGCCGTGAGGGCTCATTCAACCAGAGGCATACCGTCCTCTATAGCCCCCCTTTCAGCCCCGATCCAAGAAGTGTGCTATACAGCAGGATGGGCCACCCCTCATACTTTTATCAGATTATATAGCCTGAACATTCCTTCTACGCCAGGCACTCTAGTGCTCTTGTTCTAAGTGTGCCTGTGCGCAGCTTCACACTGGGACAGGCAGGGCTCGTTGTGGCATAGTGGGTAGTCATTTCCCAAAGTGTCATCATCGACGCAGTTCGAGTTCCCTCGGAAGGGAACATCTCGAAAGGGACTGTAACCCCTGTTCCCTGAGAAGGGAACGAGACACTGAAAAATGTATGATTGCATAACACTGAGTAGAAGGAATGTTTGGAGGTGAGGCACATGTTCGGTACCTGTACGAATGTTGTGACTTACCGTATGTTAGATGAAAAGATAAATGTAAATGAGGGGATGAGGGTTGAGTGATAAATAGAGCATCTGCTCTCCCAACAAGACCATACGATGGATTTTGGCAAGGGCCTTGCATTTTGTGGTGAGACTTAGGCCCTGTCCACACGGACACGGGTATTTTTATAACCGTGACTTCTTTTACGTGGTTCGGCCGTTCGTCCACATGAAAACGCACTGAAACCGAACATTTTGGAAAACCAGTGCCAGTGTGTGGATTTTCTGAAATGCCGGTTACAGTGTTGTCGTGTAGACAGTGATACCGGGGTTTTTGCCTTGCGATGTCAGAGTGTGCGCCGTTATCCGCTGTGTTTGACGTCAGATTTGCGCTTCTGATTGGCCAACGTGGCTTTAGGGTTAAGGTTTATATTGCCGCCTGCTGGCGTGGCATGCTCTTGACCGCGCTTGATACGTGTTTTTGCGTTTTCATGTAGACGGAGACCGAGCATGTGTGGACGGGATTTTTTTTGAAAACGCTGTAGGAAAAACTCTGGTTATAAAAATACCCGTGTCCATGTGGACAAGGCCTTATTGTAACCAATGAAGTCATCTACATTTCAGTCACATACATGACAGCCAATGACAGTCAAATACATGAACATATTTCATGTGCACATTGTCAAATCTGGTATTGTAAATAACAGTAGTTATAGGATAATTCTCTAGAGAGGTCCTTGACTAGACAGACTTCAAATTTCTGTTCATTTCTGATAACAATTGGTCTTTTTTTGTTCTCCAAAGGCTGGTATGATTCGTACTGATTCTGATGAGTACTTCATTGAGCCTCTGGAGCAAGGGACACAGGAACACGAGGAGAGAGGAAGAGTGCATGTGGTATATCGAAGGTCTGCAGTATTACAAGCTCCGTCAGACATCTCCTTGGATTACCAGCCGATCCGTACGTATCACTGGTTTATTAAAGTCTTGTGTGCATCTGTTGATTCTAGCCTTGTCCCATTTCCTGTGTATGCCTTGGGCTTAGGGTTTTCCACAGCTTCATGTTGTAGATCATTTAATAATGCTTGATTTGAAAGCAAAAAAATAAATAAAAATAAATTATATTGCCTTTGCTCAAATGAAATCAAATGCATCGTGGCACTTTTTAGAAATGGCGTACTAAAGCATCCCAGAAACTCTGAAGTCAGACATTCTTTGTAGGTGGGCCAGCCCATTATTGCTTAACAGCATCTTACCAACCAGATCACATAAACCTTTTTACAAGCCGCCATCAGGGCGTGTGAATGACTGACAGCACTTTCAATTCACAGCCTACTTTTTTTTGTTGAAGTAATTTTATAATCACGTTCGAACAGTGGGAAACTCTGGGAAGTCAAGCCCTTTGTGCGGTCACGACCTTTCGAGATTTCCTCTCAATTCAGTCACTTCTAAAGAGTCAAGTGCTTGTGTGGTTGTAGCGGTTGCCATGGTGATGTGATGGCATTCCATTGTCCCAGGTGGGAAACATGCCGTAGGCAGAGATGATTACGCTCTCGCTCCTGTTGCTTAGATAGCCACAGCGTGCTGGTTATAAGATGAGGAAAACTCTTCTCTGTTTGGCCAGCAGACCTTGAAGTTATTGCCACTATCAAACCTTTTGTGAATTTTAATGTACTACTTTTAAAACCTAACAAATGTTTAGCCATATGTGAATTACATAAAAGATGTAAGATTCATTTATATGGACAAACCTCTCTCAAGGTATTAAAGGGATAGATCACTCAAAGATGAAAACTCATTTACTCACCCTCAAGTTGTTCCAAACCTGTATGATTTTCTTTCTTTTGCTGAACACAAAAGAAGATATTTTGAATAACATGGGTAACCAAACATTTGATGCGCCCCATTGCCTTCCATAGTATAAGTTAATGGGTCCCATCAACTGTTTGGTAACTGACATTCTTCAAAATATCTTCTTTTGTGTTCAGCAGAAGAAAGAAGTTCATACAGGTTTGAAACAACTTGAGGGTGAGTAAATTATGACAGAATTTTAATCATTTTGATTTTTTGGAAGAACTATCCTTTTAAGCTAAGTTGCTTTTTCACTGTATGGGAATAGCTCTTTTTTTAACATAGTATCCTCTTTATGGCGGCTGGTCTCATGAACATCAAAAATACAATGATCTAAAGAGACTCAATTGCATGCCTTATTCAGCTGTCTTTCTAAAACATCTCCACTCATTCAAACTGTGGCCAGGTAGCAAGCTGTGTAGGTCCAACAGAAGAGAAAAAGTCAACGCCGCTTTGCTGCTTAACCTTACGTTATGTGTTATTTGAACTCCTGTGTGGTACACAGGTCAGCTGCTCACTCTCCTGACCAAAGAGAAGTTCTCCTTCCTAAGTCAACGTGTCTAGAGCTCTAAGAAAAGACCAAAGCATCTATCAGGTTACATTTGCAAGTGTGCTAGTGTGCAAGTGTCTGTCCTGTTAGCTCAAACAGTATAGCATGGTGATGGCAACACCAAGGTTATAGGTTTGATTCTGTGTCTTTCTTGAATATCATATAAGTTGCTTTGGATAAAAAGTAAGTGGGTTTGTTGCACTATAGGTAACACACAAGTTGCTTCTATTTATTTTTTTGGCCACGTAAGGGAATAAAAATTATGTAGACAGCTCTCAAAAACTCACTAGTATCAGTGTAATTTACATAAAACTATCATGCTGATCCATGTTGATAGATGGCTGTGCAGCGTCTAACACCATTGTGTTTTTTTTGTGATTTTACTGACTTGGATCTTTGAATCTCATTCAGCAAAAGGAATGAATCTTTATTCAAGCATTTTTTTTTCATTTTAGCATAATTAATACAATTTTCAATAGCCAGATTCCCCCCAAAAGTCACATACACAAACTTTGATCATATTCAGAAATTGTTTAAAATGATGACGCAGACAATGACAAATTACGAGACACAGACATGATTAATTCAGTCTTCTGGTCCAATTCATTCCTTGTCAGATGGCAGCTGCATAGGCTGTACAAGAAACAGAAATGATTAGCTCACCAGAATCTTCTGGTTAGAGTCGCTTTTTTTGTCATTTGACGGCTTAAATTGGCTCTGTACAGGAAACAGAAATGGACTGCGTTTCTCAAAAGCTCTGTAGGCTAGGTAGATTATAGAAAATTACACAGATGGTCTCAAACAACTTAGCTCACAATGCTTTCGAGAAACGTAGCAATGGTTACTTCACTTTTCCTAGGCTGAATCCAAAATCGCCCCCTATACCCTCAAATATGGCATTATTTAAGGGGACAGCCATTTGTAGTGGTGTCCGAAACCATAGTGGACGTTATTGAGTGCACTCATTCAATCCCACATTACACCACAATAACGAGTGTACAGCCGATGTACGCTCAACGGCTGTCCGAATTCGCTCTCTTGTTTTCATTCTCTCCTTCCAGTGAACTGCATTAGTGGACTAACGTAGGGAAATAGTGACTGAGGGTTTAGGGGGTGATTTCGGATTCAGCCCTAGAGTCTCTCCTCTGGTCCAAGTTGTCAATTTGTCACGTGATTTCTACTCATCTCTGTATGTATTTACAAATTATCATTTTAATATCAAAAGATGTGTGTAATAAACAGTTTTTATAAAGACATTTAGGAATTATGAGCTAATTTCTGTATTCAATACAGAATATATGCGGCTCTCACGTCACGTGACAAATGAACAAAAGAGACTCGGACCGGACAAGAGACCCGGGAGGTGAATTAATTAATCATTTATTTCGAAGCCTATGTGGCTGTCACTTGAAAGAAGGAACGACTCGGACCTGAAGACTAATCAATTCTGTTTCCTGTACAGAGCCTATGCGCTTTCCACATTAGTTACAAATGAAATGGCCAACACAAAAGGAACGAATTGCTCTCTGAGACAACTCGTTATTCCCTAGTCAAATAAAAGATTTGTTTGAAATGGACAAATCGTTCATGATGCATCACTAGTATCTGCTAACACTAGCTACTGACTGCAGATTTTTATTAAATTTACTGGTGTTTTTACTGATGAACATTGAATGTTTGATGATGCCAAAGGTAATCTAAATGTAAAATCAAGTAAATAGGCATGCACAACTTTCGTTTATATCCAGGTGTTTGAGAGCTAGATTTAAACTGTATTTCACACTTATCTCTGCCTACACAATTTAGTCCATAATGAGATTAGCAATGGGCCGTCCCACCCTCAGTGTACATAATTCAGGCCATGCTGTTCAGTCAAACTCATTCTGTGATGTTGAGCTCTTCTTTAAACAAGCTTGATTGCACAGGGGAAATAAGTAAATCATCTGAATGATACTTCTTTTCTAAGCCGTACTCTACGAACACAGTTTTGGGTGTGAATAATGGTAAGTGTTCCCCAGGGCCACAGAATAAAAAAATATTGTTTGCTTTCATGCAGATAAATACCAGCACATAAAGGACCGTATTAAAAGCTTTTGGAACAACTCCATTATCTGTTTAACATGGTTACCACACAGCTTTATCAGCATGTCAGTGTGCAGTGGCTGTAATGGATGACAGCAAGTCTCCTAAATGACACCGCAACAACTTGAAGCACAATTGTGAGATTATAACAGACTTGCCACAGAGTTCTCGCTTGTGATAACAAATCAGAAATTGCCATCGTAATCTAGATTCAGTCTCCCTCCGAAGACTGAGTCATCCATCTGAAAGGTCATGAGGTCTGGGGGACCAGATAACATCAGGACATTGATGAACCCATTTAGTGTAAATTGCAGGCCAGGCTGCTGGACGCCTACTTTGTCTTGGTTGCAGTGCATGTTCCGTTTACTCCTCAAGTGATTTGTCACTGGCTGTAAAGATTGGCTCCAGCCCCTGGAGAGATCAGTGGAACCAAAGGGAATAGCAATTATGGTGGTTGACAGTCACGGCATACCATGTTGGGTAAGGCACCTATTAGCATGCTGCAGTTGCTAGGCTTTTAATTAAAGATGCAAGATCAAGACCGAAGGAAGAGAGAAAAAGACTGTGGTAGCTCTGAGAATCTATGTCAGATTGGACTAGAAAGTGTAGAGGTGTAGCACCTTTGGGCTTTTGTCTCAAACCTGACAGTGTCTTGAGGGTTCAATCCAGATTTGGCAAATGGAAAATAGTTGTTTATATTTGAAACGATGCCCACTGAGCTTGATGGATTTGGGGGAGCCTTCAATACAAACAACTGAGGAAATTGAAAACACCCACTTAAACACATAATCCCTCCACAATGCACTAGTGTATGGTTTCAGAAAATGTCAAGCCGAATATAAAAGGTGAGACGACAGTGAGATAAAGAGAGCTGTTTTCTGAGGACTTAACTGAGACTTTTTTTGTCAACCTTAATCCGCTTATGGTGGTAGTACAACAATTTTCCTTTTTGCAGGTTAAAGTCTTCAGATCAGGATTTAATTGATTTTATTGTCTTTTCTTCATTGCTGTGCTATGTTTTAGAGAATGCACGGACATATAGAACATCAAAACCTTTAACAGATCAGATAAAATAATCTTTAAAGGGAGATTTCACCCAAAAATAAAAATTCTGTCATCATTTATTGACCGTCATGTCGTTTCAAACCTGTATGACTTAATTTATTCTGTGGAACAAAAAATAAAAAATAATTTGAAGAACTGTTTTTGTCCACACAATATAACTCAGTAGGGTCCTCGCATTGGATCCGTTTTTACTTTCATAGTATTTACTTTCAGACAAATGTTTAAAATATGTAAATAATTTTTCACTTATGGGTGAAATATCCCTTAAAACAACAAAATAATCATATTAAATAGAAACGGCTGCTGAATATTATAATATTTTACAGGAAAAGCAATTACTTTTGTACATCTTCTGTTCAAAATTCAAACAGTTTGTGTGACCATTCAAGTACTTAAAAAGAATACTTAAAAGC